ATTTTGCATTTATTTTGATAAAATGTTTATTTTAATAATCTAATTTCTATTTGTTTTAATTGAATTGATTTATTTTAATTAAACATTTTGAATAATTTATTAGAATTTTAATTAATCATTGATATACATAACTTTTTTTAAAGTGATACTTGATAATATCTTTTTTCTTAATATTTATGTAAATGTTTTTTTGTTATATATTAATAAGTAGAAAATACTTGTTTTCATGTATAGCACTTTGAACTTGAAAAAGTGCTACATAAATATTCTTCAGTCATTCTATTCTATTCTATTCTATTCTATTCTATTCTATTCTATTCTGAGTCAGTAATGCACTGAGCAGACAGTAACATGGTAAAAGCTTTTCCTTGCTGGAAAGAAGCATGCTGTTAGTTGTATCAGGAAGTGCACTAATGTAGTCATTTATTATTCTGTTTGATAGGCTTTCAGTGCAGATCGACATTCAGTTGGCGCCAGACAGCACATTATTACATTTCCGCTTTAAAATAGCCTAAGTATCACAGTACCATTGACATATGGAGACATTTTTATGCTCCCCTTTTGTTCCTAAATAACATGGTTTAAATTTGCATTCATGTCTATCAATAACAAAACAATTAAATTATCACCACATGATTGTTTATTTGCATTCCTGTTGGTTTACAGTAAAACAACAACAATTCCCTGATAATAGTTTGAAAGAATACCACAAACATTTTGGTAAGTCTTAAAATATGTTTATTCTGGTTTGGCAATATAATTTACACTCTCAGCCCTCAATGAAGTTTGTCACATTTCAGCTCCTGATTGAGTACAAGCAGACACTTCCTCAGATCATGTTTTCAGACTTGATCAGCTCTATGATGATCTGTATGGTCTTCTCGTCTGGAGAGGATAAAAAAAAAATTAAATATGGCTTTACATTTGTTCTTAACACAATGGCTGTTGTTCAGAACCCAACATTTCCTTCAGTTTTTACTGTAGTTAGTATGGAGGGTGATTAGTGCCAAAAGTCTTTAAACAAAATGCATGACATTCATTATATTAGCATGCACAGTTTGATCGTGTTAAGGTGGCAGTTTTTATGGAAGGCAATATCACGTCTGATGATGGAATTTGTATATTACAGCAATTCGTCAAGTCGTTCAAGATGATACAAAAAAAAAATCTTATTGGCTGTTCTGCTTGTTGACATACTGACATGGTCAAACTGTTGATGATCAAATTTCATGCATTTACTTTACAGACCTTTAGACCTGGGGTCCGTTCTTCGTACGTGCATTACTCAGTTAGCTGGATTTGCATATTGACGATTTGACACGATCCAGGATCGTTTCGTTCTTTAAAACTGATCTGAGAGTTGTTGTTATAGCAACAGTTCTGCTAGCTCAAACCTGGTCGGAAGCAGGTTTAATTCATATAAACAGGATTAGATCGGCTCAGTTCAAGCAAAGATAATACAGAAAGCATGTACCAAATGCTGATATTTTCTTACAGTAGTAGTTATATACACTTGGGAAAATACTAAATTTTTAAAAACTATATAAAGTTATAGTTATTAATAAAATAAAGTTATATATATTATTAAAACTTATGCAATCTGCACCACCAAAATGAAAGTACAAAGACTGCCACCAGGTGGTGCAAAGAGACTTATTGATATGAACTTTTTAGATTGCTTTAGTACAGGGTTTTTCAAAGTCTAAGACAGTGGGCCTCCCTTTTGACACAACTTATCCATTGGCGCCCCCCTCCTCCCAAACACGCACGCACTTACACACACACACACACACACAAAACTCTGGAGGTTTTCCTGCTACCTCACCATGCTTGGATTTAAGGTGTCGCCGAAGTTTAGCGGGTCTCATGCTGTATTAGCCAAAATATCTTGAAAAACCACACATAAAGGTCGTGGTTTATTAGCTGGTCCTGTCCACGTAAATCCTAAACTCAAATACTGATCATCATATCGTCGTCTTTTGGGTTTAAGCCCTGAACTTGAAGGCTTTGAATCGGGCGGTCTCAGAAACCGATCCATTGTATTAGCAGGCATATACCTGTATTAGCGGGCTTGCCAAACAGAAGCGAATTTACAGCTATGGCCTTCTGGGTAAAAAAGGTTTTCTTATTTTTGACGTATTATTTTTTTTTTTTATCTTTGTTTAATTAAAACTTTTAAAAATAATAGAAAAAACATATAATAATTAAACTTAATAATTATATTTTTATTATATATTATTTTTTCCCGGGCCTCCCCTGACATGCTCTGGCACCCCCCAGGGGAGGCGCCCTACACACTTTGAAAACCCCTGCTTTAGTACAATTTGTGTATGATAATAGACATGCACAATATGTGACTTTTTTAAAAGCAATAATACATTTATACAGTCATAAACATGTTTTGACGGTTATTATGCCGGCGATATGATGCCTCACAAAAGTTGCAGACGCCTTTACCAATTTCAAAATGCTTTTGTAAACATCCAGTTATTCTTTACACCTGTTAAAAAAACGGCTACTATAATACTACTATGGCTACTATAATAAGGAAAATCTGCTCTAACTGTTAAACTAAATGAATTGCTCTTGACACATGAAAGAGCCAAGCATGCAGACCACAACAAGATGTAAAGTTATTGCGTATCATATATAACAAACCGTTTGCTGCTAATTTAATGTAATTTTGCTCACATGGATAATTGAATATTAATCAGATGATGTCATTAGGCTGCTGTGCCGTCAGCCAACCGTTGCATTGCTAATCATGATTTCGAGGATCAATAGATCTGTCCTTCACAACACACGCAGCGATCTCAGATCAGTTTATCCAAACATTTTAATCTGATTTGCGAACTTGTTTGAAGAACCAAATTAGCCCAAGATCAGTTATCAAGATTAAAAGATCCAGGATCTGCTAATCATCTTAGATCATTTAAGCCAGATACAAAGAACGGACCCCAGAAAGCCATCTACAACATAATTAAAACAATAAATTATTCTATAATTCACTATTTTAAAGTGAAAAGTGTAGAAACACTAGTTCCGTAGAAGTTCCATAATACTTTAAAAGGCTGAGCTTATGGAAGCCAATTGGTGCCAAAATCTTGACACCAAGCGCAATGTGAAATTTTATTGTTAGCAGCAGTTTGAGCATGTTAAGGTAGCCATTTTGAATGTTTACAAAAAATGGTTTAATTGCCTAGAAAGTAGACAAGTTTCTTTAGTAAACAGACAAAAAAACTGTAGAATTTTTAGAAGCACCAATTTTGAGTATGTTTTATTATACTTAAACATGAAATGGTCTGAATGTTCATTCATTCATTTTCTTTTCGGCTTAGTCCCTTTATTAATCAGTGGTCGCCACAGTGGAATGAACCGACAAATTGACCAGCATGTTTTTACGCAGCCGATGCCCTTCCAGCTGCAACCCATCTCTGGGAAACATTCACACACACTCATCCACACTCATACACTACGGACAATTTAGCTTACCCAATTCACCTGTACCACATGTCTTTGGACTGTGGGGGAAACCGGAGCTCCCGGAGGAAACCCACGCCAACACAGGGAGAACATGCAAACTCCACACAGCAAAATAAATGTTCTGAATGTAAAGCAGCAATTTTTAATGTTTCTTTAATATGCATAGAAAAATCGTTTGAATATCTCAAGGTGGAATTATTGACCATGCGCTTCAGTACACAGAAATAAAATGGAATGTGCTGAAATGCCAATTTTGGAGGGTTTTTTTCTAGGGATGCAGGACATGAAAACATTCTGGGCCAAAACTGAAAATTCTGATTGCATGGGTACACGAGCGGAATATCCACATAGAGGAATATTTAGCTGTTTTGTATTGAAGTCACAGCAGATGTGTAAGCTAGTCAGGAGTGTGCTCCATTGCTCTTGTGCTTTGGATGGCACTGAAATAAACCATCTTGTGCATCACAAACCATTGAAGTGAACGGGTTTTATAGTGCAGCACTTTCCTTG